AAAAAAAAAAAAAAAAAAAAAAAAAAAAAAAAAAAAGGAAAACCACACGCGAACCACAACCACAACCTCATCCCAATAAAAACTAGTATGTAGCTCGACTCTGTCTTCTTTTTTTTTTAGAGATACGTGTCATTATTATTATTAATATTATTATTATTATTATTACGATTTAGTACCAGTACCGCTATTATTATTAATATTATTATTTGTATTATTGCTATCATCGTTATAATAATAATTATTATTATTACTGTGGACAACGTGTTCTTCGCAATATTCCCGTCTCCTTCGGTTTGAGAATGTCGATTGTTTCCCTCGCATTTACAAGCACGAGATTAGAGAACGAAGAATTCGAGTGAATCAGAGCTCACATTTGAAAGGACAATGTTCAATTCTATTTATTTGAATCGTATATGGCAATCGTATTCGATCGTCTCATCATCGATAAGGCAAAACGTTTAAAAATTCACGACTCGAAACTTCCTCTTTCGAGCACTCGAGTCATAGATGTGATGAGAAGAATAATTACGCGTTGTGATATCGTTCGTATAAATATTTCAATTGCTCGAGATCCTGACTTGAAACCGAGAAGTTGTCCACCGAGTTGTTGTTACAACATGCTCGATGACTCAAGTAATCGTATAGCTCGTATACAATAGACGCCTACTGAAATCGATTACTCTGAAATATAAACTTCCACATTCCATTCACATTAGCTAAGATTAGATCCCAAATTCGAATAAAATGATTGTCCAAAATACACGCGTATAATTCGAGAATCTCGAATCAAAAATCTCTGAACAGAATATATTATAAAAACCTCAAATCAAATCAGAAAACAATTAACGAAATGTTAACTCGAATCATTGATAAAATCATGGTCCTCTAAAATATCTGTTTTATATTTTTATGATAATTTATGTACTGCAGCAAGAAGAAGGTAACTCCACTTTTTACACATTTTTCGTTACCGATTCTATTTCATTAAAAATGAAATATCATTCTATAGATTATCCTATTTCATTGTAAATTCCTTGCATTATTACATTCTAATTAAAAATTATTTGGTATAAAAAGAAGGTAACTCCAAAAGCTAAAAGCTTATTAACACGAATATTAGTTGAATTTATAGTTTGAAACAGTATCTGATTTTTAATTGCTTTTTTGGTCAATTTGCTAAAATTGCCTCAAAATGTCTACTTATTATCTCTCCAAATCAGTTGTTGAAAAAAGTATGAGTCACTGTGTCCATCGAGAATACATTTGCACAAGAATCGGAGATTCACGTGAATCTCATGGCTGGCGAATGATATCGTGATCGAGTCAGGTACGACGACATTTCTCCGTGACACGGTACGTCGATTCATCAAAAGGCCGTATGAAAAGTTAACACGGCCGAGAACATACACAAATGTAAACAGTGAGGATACGCCAGGTGAGTGGACCCGGCGAAAATGTCAAGGCACAAGGGATTTTGCAACGATCCAGAGAGATACGCTCGTTGGCTTTCTTCAATTCAAGTCCCTGTTGCATACTTTTACGCAAGAACGACCAACGAAAAGTATACGAGACACGGTTCACGGGAAAATAATTGTATCTCCATTTGGAACGTTTAGTTTCTCCAGATCTAGGTGTTCCCTGGTACAATGAGAGACGTGTAACATTTTGGATGTGGCAATAGCGGATTTTTATTTATTCCGTTTATTGGGAATGTAGAGACGCAGAAATGCGTGTGTAAAATTTAATATGTGAAAAAATATGCGAAATAAAATATTGCGCTTGGTATATTCATTTAGTAAATGAATTTTCATCAACTATTTGTAAATAAATCATTTTAAATTTACAGCACAGTATGCAACTTGAAAAAAAAAACAAATAAAAATAAAAATAAAATAAATTAATTGTTTTACGATGAGTATAAATGTATTGTAATATCTGAAAAATATTGAATAGCAACAAAAGCGTTTTTTATAAACCGCGATAGAACTTGTTACATAGAATACATTCTACAATATGCAATAAATTGAAAATAATTCTGTTTACATGATATGTCATTGAAATAGAAAAATTATTGAAAATAATAAGGTACAAAATAAAGATATATAACAAAATTAAAATTCGTGAAATGGGAAGCCACGAGAAAAGAGTTAAAAAGATCTTCTCAGTTAACTGCCTCCGTGGCGCAATCGGCTAGCGCGTTCGGCTGTTAACCGAAAGGTTGGTGGTTCGAGCCCACCCGGGGGCGATTATTTTTTCATTCTACATAATAATCTAATTTTTTATTTCTATTATCATTAATAGGAACATTAACATTCATTTATCATTACTTGTTACTATTAAATTTTTGGATGAGAGAGTATAAACATTGAACGATGCTTATACTCTCTCTTCTAAGCTAGTTTTAAACTTAAAGAAAAATAAAAATAGAATATTATTTTATATAAAATATAAAAGAATATTCCATTTTTTCGCATAAACATTTGATGCTAGAAATAAAAGTTATTATAAAAGTTACATGCCAATTAATTTTTTGCAATACACTGCATAAAATAATGAAGTTAATAATAAATATTACTTATAACAATAAATATTACTTTTATTCAAACAAAAATGAATTTGTAAAATTTATATTCAAATATTGACAAAAAATTACAAAAATCAATTTTTGACCCCGACGTGATTTGAACACGCAACCTTCTGATCTGGAGTCAGACGCGCTACCGTTGCGCCACGGAGTCAACTGATTGGACCGTTTTCTAAAGTAGTTATAACTGACAAATACTAATATTTTTAAACAATAAAACATAAATAATATATTAATAACTAACTATTCCTTTCATTTTAATAAATTAATTAAATTATATTTAAAAATACATTTTTTGCACTATACTTCATATTTTATCTTCTATTCCTTTTATTCAAATAATTATAATTCCAATAAATTAATAAGTTAATAATATGTACCATGCAATATTTAAAATTTCTTTAAGAGAAAAATATATATGTATATAAGTGTCATTCATACCTGATTCGTAAGCATAAAACAAGCTAGTATTCCCAATGACCACCAATCTACCTCTTGTCCATAATACTCTCTGTTGAATATTTCTGGCGCTATAACAAAATAAATTAAATAAAGAAGAATCATAATTAATGTAGTTTTTATAGTCATTATACATTTTAATACTTGCCCATATATTCTGGTGTTCCACAAAGCGTATTTGTTCTTTGTGCATGATTTAACCACTTTGCAAGACCAAAGTCAATAATTACAGCATGGCCTTCCTCATCCAATAAAACATTTGTTGCTTTTATATCTCTGTGTACAACACCAGCATTGTGCAAAAAATCTTCAACAAGATAACCAAAAAAATATATAAATTCTGTATCATATTCAATTATCAATTTAAAACTATGTATATTTACCAATAGCTAAAGCAACTTCTGCTACATATATTCTAACTATATTTTCAGGCAAAAAACCATATTGCTCAATTAATGAAAATAATTCTCCTCCACCAATATAGTTAGTTACTGAAATTAATGGATATTAAAAACTATATTCAATGATAAATAATAATAACATGATAACAGCAAGCTTACATATATACAATGTTTTTCTTCCTTGCCATCTGTGAGTACAATCCAATATAAATGGATGATGACCAACTAATTTTTGTATAGATACCTAACATTAAATACATGTACGAATTCAATTACTAAACAAAACAAAAGTAAACGTGTCTTCTTATTAAAACATATATATGTTCTTAAAACATACATACTTCCTGCTTAGCTTGCATTATACCATTTTCTGCAACCACTTTAGCTTTACTGATTACTTTTAAAGCAAATATTTGTCCAGTATCCTGTTTTTGAATTTTATATACTTTTCCATAAGCTCCTTTAGCTATTACATTTAAAAATGTATAAGAATTTTGCAAAGATACTTGTCTTATTTGAAATTGTGGAAGAAACATAGCCTGAGAACGTGATACAGGCCATAATGTTTTTGAAGTACCCAGTGGATCATATAATGTACCTTCGCTCCAGCTACAAAATCAAACACTTGTTACACACAGACTATCAAATGTACACAGATTATAAAATTACCTTCTGCAAGAAGCACGGGACCATGATTTAGTTTCCTTCTGCGAAGATTGTGTTGATCCAATGCAACTTCCCCCAATTATATCACTAAGACTGTACTGTTTAAAAAATATGATAATACTTATTAATCATTATCACTTGAAATACAATTATATGTAAATAAATGTTGTTAAAAACATTTAACAACATTATTTAAACTATATAGGTTATAATTTATAACCTATATTTTATTTATACTTTTAAATAATATATACCTGACTAGTATACTTTTGATTATTGTGATAATTATTTTTTGAGGTAGAATTACCCATTCGAGCTGAAAAATATTAATTTTTCTTCAACATCTTGCTTTATTCATTGAATAAGCATAATAAATAATCATTTCAGTCACGTTCATTTATTTATATTAAATGACATAAAACGCATCATACGCATATTTATTTTCCAAAATAAAATAAATTTGATATTTAATTATACTAATATAATTAATTTTATAATTAATAATAAAATAGTTTATTATAAAAAGTTACAAAAATGATTGTGCATACATGATATGCGCGTACACACACATGCATGTGATATATAATGCGTGTGCTTCGCATATAAAGGATTAATATTTATTTCCACAAACAAATTATTAAGATGATTTAATAAAACAATTCTAAATATTAATAGCTTATTTATTAATTGATTATATTGAACTATTAGAATATATATTAATCATTTTGGAAGAAATTTTATAGGATTGTGCAAATTTCAATCACTTATATCAAAGAAATTTAAATAAATAAATTTAAATTTCCTAAAACTTAATTTTAATATATTTGTCCGTAATATTATATAGTAATGTTTGAGTATATTACTAAAACATACCGTGACAATAAAACAGGACGAAAGAAAGTTATTATTCTGATAACGACAGATGCACGATTCAAATTATTAGAAATATAGCATAAGGCGTATCACGTGACTTAACATTAGATAGATATTAAGAGCATAGATTATTGAGGACCCATTTTAAATATTCTCTTAGTCTTTTTAATACTTCCAAAAATTTTAAATTATTTAGTATCTATAAAATTCTAGCAATAATAATATTTGTTATTTTTATGATACAATTAATTAGAATGATAATTCCATGATTGATTATATTCTTAATGCTTTCCAACTAATACGACCTAACAGTATAAAGAACTATTAATTTTTGTATACATACATACATATATTACTGAATGTGTAATAAAAAGTAATGAATCTGTTTATTAATACGTACTGCTGATGCTTCTTTTAATTTTCTCCAATATTCGTCAATTACTATATACAGTCATCGTTCAGATTTTTCGCCAAATGTTTCTTACTCCGGAAATTACGTATTATAGTTTGAAAAGATATTCTTAAAGAAACGAGCGACATCTGTAAAGAGTTAACATAATTATATCGAGAATTACGATGCATGTCTAGTTATACAGTCAATGGTTATACAGCATAGGTGAACAGAATCAATATCAGTATCAGTTCTACGACCATAACTGTGCTAATAAGAAAATGTCGAAGTTATTGAAGATAAAGCAATTTAGACATATTTTTACACGAAATCTATCAGAATATGTAAAAACAGTGGAGCAACAACTACATCCTCCTACAGAAAGTAAATTGTGAAACATTCTATCTAATAGTTTCTTATAACATAGGAAATTAACTAACGCAGAAAGAATTCTATGTATTTCTAATCTTCGAAATTTTTTGTTTCATTTCAAAGCGTATATTAGTACAAAATTCGAAATAAACAATATTCTTTATCTATATCTTTCATATGAATTTAGCATTCATATGAAAATGATTCTATTAAAGATTAGAAGTACATGTTACATAATTATAACTTGAAATTTCAAATTATTTTAGGTAATTTTAAATCATTTAAGTTTGTCACTTATTTTGTGTGTATTCCGTTATGGTTAATTTCAATGGTTTATTGTTATAAGAAAGAGCAAGAAGCACATCATGAAAAACCTCCAGAATTTATTCATTATCCATATATGAAAATATTGAACAAGGTAAGAAAAATAAAAAACAAAGAATCAGCACGTATATAATATAATATAATGCAATTATTTTTTATATAGCCTTTTCCATGGGGAGATGGTAAACATTCACTCTTTCATAATCCTAAAAGAAATTATATAGTTGGTGTTGGCTATGAAGAACCTGTTGAATAAAATCAATATAAATATATATATATATATATATATATATACATATATATATACACACACATATGTATGTAGTTTACATTAATGTTTAATTTATATTGCTTGAGATGCAATAAAATAAATAAATAGAATATTTTAGTCAGTGTTTTATATTCTCAACTATTAAAAATTCAGAAGAGACATTTGATAAATTTATTTTCTTACATTTAAGTATAATAAATTTTTTTTTCATATTTAATAAAATACTTAATAATTTTTTTACATTTAAATACAATAAAATTTTTTTCATATTACATAAAAAAATATAAATACATTAACATTTTTATATTATAACAAAAATATATTAACAATCAATGATAAATACTGTTTAACATAACAGAGTCATAATTGAAGTACTTTTAATTGCAGGAAATAAATAAAATAATAAAGTAAGTAATAGTAAACTTTAGTTATGAACATACATTTCTTTCTACAAGTAAACAATCTTTATAATGATCTTCCCAATGTAGTTCAAAACATAGTTTAGAACAATATTTAGCTTCTAAACAAATTGAACATGCTACAGTACTTGGTCTACCACAAAATAAACATACTTTCATTTCTTCCTCTTCAATATTTCCTTCTGTAGTATTTGAAAGACCATTATTAGATTCATCCATTTTTAAAAATGCTTCCATTGATATGCTTCTAACATCTTTAATATGAGATATAATAGGTTTTTTTACTAAAGTATTCTGTAATTGTTCATTATTAAGGTATTTAATGTCATTCTTTAGAGATTTAGATGAAGACACTCCTAATATATCACTAGTATTTTCTAATGATATACTGTTAATATGAAGTTTCTCTTGTTGATGTTCTTCATATTCTTTAAGTTCCTCTCTCGTTAATTTAGTTTCTCCACTAGCAGTATTAATAACAGTTACTTGATCATTTGCAGAAGAAATTTCTACAGTAACTAAATGTGGATTTAACTGCTGCAGAGTGTCTTTATTAAATAATTTCATATCTGATAACAGCAACTTTTCATTAACTATTTGTGGAATATTTTCAATTTTTTCCAATTCATTTAAATTTTGTTCTTTAGTGTTTGAATTGTATGTATCTTTAGAAATATTTTGTTCCTTTTCTATTTCTATCATGTTACATACATCAATGTTATCTGATGATGTTTGATAATTCTGTACATTTAATTTAATCAAGGAATTATCTGTCTGTAACAAAGTATCCTTAAATATTGTATTGTTTTGTATCTTTTTCTTATCTAACATATTTAACTGTTCCAGATATGAAAGTTTTTTATTTTGTGAATTATTATTTGTTTTATGTTCTTTTTCATATTGGTTTTGTGTTTTAACATTTAAATTGTTTTGATCATTTGGGCAATTCTGTTTAATACTCATTATTTTATTCTGTTCTTGATTAGTTTTAGATGCTTCAATTTGATAACAAATTTTTTCATTTTCCTTTGCTATAATTTGTACTATTTTTGGAGCATTAGTGTTAATGTTTGCCAGTATATTTGTTTCAGATTTATCTGACAAAAGAATATGCTTTTCTATCACATGTTTTAAAGTAGTCTGAAAATGATATAGTAGAAATCTTTCTGAATGAATTTTTTGCCACTGTTCTGATGTATACCATTGTTTCAAATGTGTGGTGCAACTAAAATAGAAGTTTATTTGTTCAAATAGTGTATGTTTTTGGATATCAGAAATATATTTCAATGCATTGAGTAGTCTCATTGTTGAATTTAATAGAACTTCTAAATTTTCTTTCTTTAATTGTTTGGGTTTATGTAAGTAAATGTTCTGTGATTGTTCAGGCATATAATTTTGTGATACCTTTCTTTTTGCTCTTTGTTGTTTGGGTTTTACAGGTTGTGTATTTTTTAATACAGAATGTGGTACATTCATTGTCACTATAGTTTGTACAGGTTGTGGTATGTGACAGTTTGATAGTACAGGTTGTGGTATGTGACAGTTTGATAGTACAGGTTGTGATATATTACAATTTGGTAGTATAGGTTGTAAAACAGATTTTTGATATACTGTATTTTGAATTATAGGCTGAGTCATGGTAGGTATAGTTAGATTTTGCACAGTTACACATGTTACATCCCTATTTTGTTGTATGGAATAATTTTGTATATTTACATTGTGAAATGTATTTGTTGGTACAAAATAAGTTGGTTGAATATATCGTTGGTTGATAAATGGTTTATTTGTGATTGGTGCAGAAACTTGTCCACTTTCTAGTTGATTAATTCCATGAAATGGAAATGAAGCGTATTGCACAGGAAAGTTTTGTCTAACATGCATGTTTGTTATTGGTTTCTGTTTATCAATATGAACATTTGAAATTTTTTGTTGACAACAATTTCTATGTGTTTGTATCTTGTAGTTATATTGCTGTATCTTGTCATTATTGTTATTATTAGTAAAAATAATAGGATTCACTGCAACATTGTTTTGAAAAACATTATTTTGTGAAGATGAAACTATTTTCTCTTTAAAATTTTGATGAGTTGGTTTTGTAGTAATATTTGTACATATTTGACTTTTCTGAGTAGAAAGTAAATATTGTAACCTAGATTGCATAGAAGATGCCCATATATTCTGTTCATTACAATGCTTGTCTTGATTTGGTACTGTTTCAGTCGAAACAACTACGGTGTTGGTTGGCATTATGGTTTGACATTCATTTACATTAATTTTACGCGTATTTAAAGAAGAAGCATAATAAGACTTAACTGATGATGTGTAATGGAACAATTCTTCTATTGATAATAATGGATTTACTAACATTTGTGTATTAAATATAGCTATAACTCCTTCTACTAGATCAACATAATCTTCAGTATTCAATATTTTTCTTAAATTTTCGAATTCTATAAATAATAATCTATCATAATTTAAATTAGTAAGTGAAGATAGCCGTATTTTTTGAATTAAATTACGTATCTTCACACAACTAACATACACAGAGTCTACAAATTTTAAATCTGTATTACTTTTTTTTATATTCTCAGAAACTGTTGTAGATGCAGATGCAGTAATTAGAGGTGTCGTATCAGAAACTGTTTGAATTACTGTAACTGTATGTGAAGATTGAGGAACAGTAGGAACACTATTTATAGGTGTAGGACACCATCTGGATCCCAGTTCTGCACTAGATAAAACTCTTAATTTACCTTGAACTACTTTATTAAACTGAGTATCTTTTTTTTCTGAAATATTCAATTCCAGTTTTTCCACTGCTAATTCACTCTCATTATTTAGCACATTACATATGTTATTTGTAGAAATATTATCATTTTTATTTGTATTAGAAGATGATTGTATTTTGTTTAAATCTATATTGTTATTTTCTTCAATGCAGTTTAACAATTTTTCTGTAACAGTTTGATTACAATTTTCTTGTACTTTTAATAATTCTTTCAAATTTAAATTTTCATTATCATTTCTGTCTATAACTTTTTCAGCAGTTTCTTGAATACTAAGGACATTTCCATTTGATGTAATCTGACAAGTTTCTTCAAAATTCATGTGAAGAAGTTCATTAAAATCTTTCATATTTAAATTACATGTTTCAAATTCTGAAAAATTTTTACTTATAGTATTATGATCTAAGATACAAGTTTTTGAAATATCAGAAGATAATGTATTATCTATCATTATTTTTGTTTTTATTTCTGCTATAGAGATTCTATCTTCTGATTGCTCTGTTACTTGAGATGTATCTGTGACATTTACTACATCTTTACTTTGTTCAAGATTGTCATTTTCAATATTAATTAACATATCTTGAGATAATTCATTCTCTGAGACTCTATCTTCTGATTGTTCTGTTACTTGAGATGTATCTGTGACATTTACTACATCTTTACTTTGTTCAAGATTGTCCTTCTCAATATCAATCAACATATCTTGAGATAATTCATTCTCTGAGACTTTATCTTCTGATTGTTCTGTTACTTGAGATCTATCTGTGACATTTACTACATCTTTACTTTGTTCAAGATTGTCATTTTCAAT